GATAGATAGATAGATAGATAGATAGATAGATAGATAGATAGATAGATAGATAGATAGATAGATAGATAGATAGATAGTGCACTGAACTTTCACATCTGGACTGTGAGAAAATTAAAATGTAATTTGTTGGAATTTATTACATCACAACAATAAGACAGCAAACAGCCAAACAATGAGGTCATAAAGAGGAAACATTATGTCAGAATAGAAGTAAACCTGGTGAAATAGAAACAGGCTAAATGAGGATTTATTGTTTATATGATGGATCAGGGTTGTTTTGTCGCCTTCTTGTTTTGAATTGGCCATTTCCATCTCCAGCACAGGAAAGACCCTCAGTTCAATGCGAGCTCCGGACTGGGGTGGAGAGCAAACTGGAGTTATGAATGAAAGCTGAAAGCCTCTTGTGTATTGTGCTGCAGAACAGATCAAAGAGCCCTTCGTTCAATCAGCGGGGAAGGAGAGGAAGCGAAGACTTTTATAGATAGCCTTGCAATTCTGTTCAATTTGATATTGTTCCTGCTGAGAGACGTATGAGAGCGCAGAGGAGTTTTATCTTGAAAATCCACAAGGACTGAGCTGTCGTGCTGCAAACAAAAGGCTCCAAAATGAGAGCTGGGACAAAGTTTTGGTGTCCAACTGCAATGCATTTTAAAGCAAGTGCAACAGCATTAAGCATCAAAGTCAGCTGAGATTTAGATTTCTTTGCATGCCACAGGTTGCTCATGTTGTCAAAGCAAATCAAGGCTCACAGGTCCACATTTGCACAAGTGAATGTTTTGATTTAGACTTTTAGGCTCATTCTGAGAGTGAGGAATATAATTCTTCAAAACCTCAAATAGTTTGTGAAAAGAATGCAATTTATTTAAAAAAATATATCACAACCCTCTCCCTATTATCCTTTCTTTAGATTTTATTCTACACAAGAAAAATAATAGAACCAAAGCTCCCAAAATATAGTAGCACATGTGTTTTTAAAAGACTTTTTGATATACGAGAGGCCCTGCAGGATGGAGACTGTGGCGATTCAAATCTGGTAAAAAAAAAAAAAAAAAGGCAGGAAGGTTTTTTGAAAAGTGGTTTTATGCAATTGGGCTTGACATGTATTCACTGACAAAGTCAAACTGCAGGCACCTCAGTCGTGCGAGCAGCCCTGCAATATAATAGTGCACTGTACTGTGACCCCCGCAGCAGACCCCTGGTTTGTTATTCCTGTACATGATACTGTATGCTGGAGCAGGCTCAGACAGCCAGCATGATTATTGAACGAAAACACAAGGAGTCCATGGGCGCCTGCTCGGTAATGAAACAGGGGGCTGTTTATCCAAGCTGTTAAATAAGGCTTCGAGCACAACACCCCCCCTCCTCCTCCTCCTCCCACCTCGCAGGGCCCAAATCTCTCATCTGGAGAGCACAGTTTCCATTTTAAATGTCAAGTCTCAAACTGCACATTGCATCAAATTGTACTTAATGGCATCCAGACAAACTTTAAAGTCGTTCCAACATTTTCTCTCTCTCTCTCTCTCTCTCTCTCTATACACACCACAGCCCCCATCGCTCCTTATAGCTAAGCAAGCAATCTCTCCTTTTCCTCCCTGCTCCACATCTGGACTCCATTCCAGGTGGGGTACTGAGCAAGGAGAGAACACTGAAGAGGAGAGGTGAGGAGCAGAGGGGCTGAGAGAACCACTGACATCACGTCTTTGCTTTGATTTAGGTGAAAGCTGAGCGCGCTTTGGACCAACATGAGAGGTGATGGATCACAAAAAAGGACGTTACGCCATTTCCCCAAGGATACAGGATGTTCACGTTGTCTCTCCGAATCAGACGCTCAAAGCTAAAATAAAAAGATATTTATATATGGTTTCTAAAAGGGAGGTTTCACTGCGACCAGAGCAACAGAGTGACTGCTCAGAGTTCAGAATGAGGGAAAGTTTAGGAGTGTGTTTCTGCCAGCAAATAAACAAAAGAAAACCTTGAGCCAGGAAGATTCAGCTGCTGCCAAATTTCCTCTGAGGAACCTGCGACATCTAGTGGAGCAAGCAGCAGCACAAAAAGTCCTAATACTTAGAGTACCAGGCAGTTTTATTTAATTCTTCAAAGTGTTATTTAAAAAAACACCACAATTTTGACAGCATGATAGCTTCACATTCTCAACACCAGATGAGAGGTTTGTTGAGAATTAAGCAGAAAATGTGCTGAAAACTGCTTACTATTAAATAATTCACTTAGCTGTTAGAAATAAGGTTTTTGCTTTTCATTTATGTGAAAAGATGTCTTGTTTTCTCACAAAAACAGGCCAACGTTTTTAGTAATTACAAAAGATACTAAATTACATATGTTGACTCTTTTAGTTGTTTTGAAATGATGCTATTTATAGATTTTTATATCATGTTTTACAAATAGACCGAGCACAAAAAGTAAGGCAATTTGTGTTTGGTAAATTATTTGTTGTAACAATGCTTCTTGGTAATTTATCTTGTACTGTTGGAGAGCCTGTTAATTTACATTTTAAATGGTGCCACATTTGTAAGGAACATGCACTTGAGTGATGAGCAGTAGAGCTGAGTATGTGGGTTGCACACATGAAAAATTTGCTAAATCTTCGCTGACAAAGAGCTTTTTTTTGCTGTTTTGTTGTTGTTGACACTTATTTTAATTTTTTGGCACCCACTGCCAATCAGATGCCCAGTATAAGATTTAATGCCAAAAAGCATAGATTTAACAAGGAAATAATATACTAAACACAAAGTGCCTTACTTATTTTTTATGCTAACTTTATATTTAGCTGCTGCAACTCCACCTCTTTCACCTGCAGAAAACCACATTTGAATTTGTTGCAATGCTGCCTCCCTCTGGTTAATATAAATAATTACATTAGAAACCTTTTAGCACAAATATTCACTTTGAAAACATGGAAAATATAAATGCATATTGAAAGAGTTTTTGGAGCGAGAACAGATACTTTTTGAAATAAAAAAATGCAACAAATTTTGGAAAACTTGTGTAAAAAGTTTATAATTCACATCTCTAAACTACACAATGCTGACATCCTGTAATTTTAGCCAAATTTATACTAAACTATTCATGTATGTGTAATGATCAGAGCAGTAAATGCAATCTAAATGAAAAGTGAACCTGTGTCAGTTTGAAGAAAATATGCGGTTTGTTTTACATTTGAGTTTAAAGTATTGTCCTAATTAGATATATTTATTGTATTTAAGAGTTTTGTCAACACAGCTACAGGTGCAACTCAGACGCTGCATTTTAACTGGTTTCTTCTTTTTTTGTACTTTACTGCCCCAAATCAACCCCATTTCTAATTCAAATAAAGAAGTCTGAAAAAATATTTTGGTTTCCTATTTAGGTCAGTTTAGTAAATAGGTATGTGAGCATTTAATCATTACATAGCAGGAATAATGCATGTGGAATTAGAGCCACGGCAACAGCTGGTTTGTAGTTTTTATTAGGTTTTACTGTCAATGAGCAACAAAATGTTGTTTAAAAGATGCCAAATATAAAAACCTATTCTTTTAGTATTGTGTGGTGTTATTAACTGATCTGTAGAAGGCAGAAATTACAGCATGAAATACAGGGCACTTTCCCACTTTGAAACTTTCACATGACCATAAAAACCAGAGAAGCTTCAAATTGTGCAATTTTATTATAATCCACATGAAATGTGAACATGAACGTTCACTGACTACTGCTGTATTTGGACATGTGTAGTATCATGAATTCATTTCACGCTAAATGTCCTGTGCATACAATATGCATTTTAAATGATCTATTATGTATATATATATATAACATCTGCATCACAAAAACATCAAAAACATTTGCATACTGAATGGAGATCTAGTCCCTCAAAACCTATAAAACAGCAAAACAAGTCTGTAAATTATTTTTCCTCCCTCTATTTCTAATAAATTCAGTTAACAAAAGAAAAGACAGAAAAATATTTAAGATATTTTTGGTCTGGATCTAGCAAGAAATTCACAAACTTTTTTTTGTTTTTACTTGTTTATGTGCACAAATGCACACAGATGAAAGCAAGGCATGCAGAATCCACTATACCCCTCTGCATGTGAAAGCATGCACTCACCCCCTTACAGCACAGTCTGCACTGTACACCTTTAAAACTGCATGCAGAGTTACTTAAATATCAGTCCCTTTATGTCAACAGAAAATTCCAATGGTGATCTTTGTCCGAGTTGATTATTGTGAACTTGGCTAAAGTGTTGTTTAAATCTGGTTTAAGTATAACAATGTGGCTTGAGTTTATGGCTGCTGTGAATTATTAGAGCAAAGAATATCTTAACGAGACAGATGAGGCTGCACCACATGAAAAGCAAAAAATAAAACAAAGCCCCAGTTTTCATGAAAATACAAGTATCAAAGTGTATCATACTTTTGCAAAATATGAATAAATGTTAGAAATTATTTTAAGCTTCCACTCCAATACATGCCACAGTCTATGAGTGAGTCAGATGAGGTGTTTCAGGCAGCACTCTTCATCCAGAATGAAGACAGGAGCTGAACAGCCAACTCATTGGCGGGGGGACACGGTCACTGGAATGGACCTTCGGGGCCCTGGTACCTCTCTTTGGCGTGCTTCTCGCAATACATTACATTTTTAACCCAAAAGTGACCTCTCATCTTGAGGTTGAGCCCACAGTCAGAGCAGGTGTAGCACTCTGGGTGGCGGAAGTGGTCGTCACCGATGCGCACTGCCTGTGTGCTGTGGACACCAGAAGGACAGGGTCAAGTTAGTTTTCTCATTTACGTGGCAAAAAAGTATTTCGGAACACTGAACTGTATTTTTTCCAGTGTTCATCCTAACACCATTATCATTCACAGGATGTAGACTACCTCTGGTACTTAAAACACAGCAAGAGAAGTCAGAGTGTTATGATGTAAGGTCACATGACTGAGCACATGTAGTCCTGGTATGGACCAGAGAAAATGTACTCCAGTGTTGTATAATATCCCCTCCCCTGTGTGTTTAAATTAGAGTTTGCTTATTTGTATTCAGAACAAGGATTTGGTTTTAGCCCAGGATTGTAAGACAAGTGGTGTCTCAGCACTCTGCACTGTTTAGTTACCCTTCTTGAATTTTTCATACTTTAGTGGTAAAATTACTGTGAAAAAAATACAACCATCTAATTACTAAAGAAACCTTCATTAAAATTGGAAAAGTTATAAAACAAAATAAATGGTTTCATTTCTTTCTTGAAGTAGAAAAACATGGTAAAAATTGGCATGTTGACGTTGCATTATGTTAACACAGTGGTTCCCAACCCTGGTCCTCAAGTCCCCTATCCAGCATGTTTTACTTGTTTCCCTGCTGTTCAGCAGGTCTTCAGAAGATTGTTAATCACTCATTCATTCAAACCAGGTGTGTTAAATCAGGGCAACATCTAAAAATCACTGCTTTAAATGTTGACCAACACCTCAAGAGCTTCTCTGAGCTTAATGAGACATTTTCAAAATATAATATTGACTCAGTTTTATGTTTTTTAGTGTTGCCTCTGGAAGCCATTGATTCTTTGCCATTTATTTGTAAATAATAAATCAGATTACGTGTTAAAGCAGTGATTCTCCACCCTGGTACTCAAGGACTCCTTTCCTGCATGTTTAGATGTTTCCCTGATTTAACACACCTGGTTTGAATGAATGAGTGATTAACAATCTTCTGAAGACCTGCTGAACAGCAGGGAAACAAGTAAAACATGCTGGATAGGGTACTTGAGGACCAGGATTGGGAACCACTGTGTTAACATATGTATACATCTTTATTGCTCCATAACCTTCGTCAAACAAATGTTTTAAAATTTTATTTATTCTTACTCATTTTTTCATTACATTTCTATTTTTCTCCAACGTAATTTGAGATTTCTTTAAAAAAAGTGAAAAATTAAATTAGATTTCATTATATCTGTTATAAAATTATGAACAGAGCCCAAAAAGTACTTATGGTGGAACTAATACTTTTAGGTTTAAGCCAGTAGTTCAGGACATACTTTAACGACCTAGGCTTTCATGACAGGCTGTTTATCTGCAGACAGATTTTCTAACAACAATAATCATTCTTAGATATCACTTGTGTTTATCTTTGTGTTTTCCCTTGACCCAGCATTTCCTTAGAATGAAATCTTGCTAAGATAGCACAATAGTGTTTGTTAAACAATATATATCAGGCCTCAACTGTCTCAGAGAGGCAGAAACACAGAGACAGGAGCAAAGAGCAGGGGGGACAGTCTGATGTTGTTTTCTGTGTTCCTGTTGTTGCAATAAAACTCAGCTGATCATTCCATGGAGTGCCTTCATTCATGGACCACATATTTCTGTTTTTGTTAAATAAATATTTCCATAACAGAACTCTAACTTTTTTTGTTGTTAATCTGTTGGGGCTAATGTGCAGTCAGGAAAATATGACAACATTACAAACGCTCACCTAATTATGTACTTCAAAACAGAAATACTCCCGTTACTATACATGCAAACACTGTCTCAGCTGTGTGTAAAATCTTAGAAGCAGTTCTCATGAAGATTCCAGCTCTTAGGTGAGACTTACACGATGCTGGTGCCACACTTCTCACAGGTGTGGTGTTTGCTGACTCCTCCAGCCGATGGGCTCGTTTTAACTGGGTTGGGTGAGAGGTTCCCAGGAAACATTAAGGCTGCTCCTGGAAAAACACACAAACACAGCTGATTACACAGATGTTGGCACAGTTTGTTACATTTAAAACCATTGCTGCCCTCTGTCACGGGAACTCATCTCCCATCATCACTCACTCTTCACCCTGGAGACAAACCTCATGAAGCAGACTCCAAACATGAGTCATCAGCACATTATGAAAGAATGTGAGCATGGAGTGAATTTCTTTTCAACAATATTTATCAAAGAAGAAGAGCGACACAGAACATGTAACACAACCATGAGTCAGGTAAGGAACTCCTCTGTTTTGCTTTATGCCAATTTGACACAAAGGATGTAATATGGAGATGCAGCTGATAAAAGGAGGGGAATTTAAGCCATGTTGCTTTTCACATAGATATTGAAAACTTATAAAAAGCTATGATAATCTGCACACATATTTATAAATAAAAACAAATAATTTAAATTTTCCATACATTTCTTTTCTGACACAAAACTCACCTTTATTTAATTACTGCTTAAGAAACAGATTTAGTTGTTTATTTTAAAATGTTCTGTGGAAACTATCTCCTCTAACCTTTCTCGTCAGCCTCCAGAGCCTCCTGTAACACTTTGAAGGTATTGGACTGCCGAGGAGCTGCACGGGACTCCTTATTCTCCTGGATCATCTTGTACACCTCTGACTCCCTGTCAAACTTCTGCATGGCAAACTCAGAACTGGAACTGCTGCAGAGAGAACCCAGAACACATCACAGGTTAACACATTCAGACAAGACTGCAGAAGAGAGGAGAGCAAACTGTCTTCAAAATAAAATAAAATAAAATAAAAACACATCAGAGGCTCAGCAGAAACTCAATCCCCGTGGCTCTCATAATGAAAAGCAAAAACAAAAACAAAAAACAGAAAACTAACAGCTGATGGTTTGAAGGAGTAAAACACCTACATTTGTTGGACAGAGACTCTGTGTTTTACTCATGGTACAGTAGAGAAAAACAGCTGAACTTTGCACTTTGTACGAACTTAAGCCATACCTCTCACCCACCCAACACAAGTACACACACACACACACACACACACACACACACACACACACACACACACACACACACACACACACACACATACGTTTGTTTCTTGACCCGTGGGGACCTTCCATTGACTTACATTCATGTTTTTTAGACTTTATAGCCTAACCCTGCCCACATACTTTAAAATTAACCCCACAGGTGCCTACCTAAATCTACAACTAACCTAAACCTTGGTCCTAAACCTAACCCCACATCTGTAACATGCATTTGGACCCGTGGGGACCTGGCAGTGGTCCCAACAAGGCTGCTTTTTTTGGTAAAAAAAAAAATTCCCCACGTTGTAGGAAAAACCCATCCACACACACACACACACACACACCCTGTGAGGGTTTGTTTCTGTCAGTAGGAACCGGTCAGGTGAGAACTCTTGGGTCAGGCCTGGTGTGGTTCGATGCCTTATTACACCTGTTGTCAGCTTGTCTGTCAGAATCAATCAGTCAAACCCGATCAACTGTCCCAGCTGTTGTCACTCGCAGCAAAAAAAAAATGGTTGCCTTCAACACACAGCTGTCGTGAGGAACTTGCAACAAATCAGTGATGTCACCAGTGGGGTGAGATTTTTCTGTACACCCTGTTATATCAGTGATGGGTTGTGTTTGACTCAAAGGCTGCACAATGACACAATTATAGCTCATTAAGAGTTGGATGGTGGCAGATTTACAATGAAGGAGATTTCTCTGCTTACTTACAGGCTGGATCTGATTAAAACAATGAAAATTAAGATGAATGGAAGTCTGGTCTCAACACTAAAACTGTTTCTACACAAGAAGCCTTCATCAGTTGTTCGTTTTGTTTAAATTATTTATGAAAAATAAAAACAAATTGTCTGATTGCGTGGGCAGTATGTCTCAGATCATGTGTCGGTGTCGATTATCTTTAAACAGAGGGGAGCTGGACTTCCCTTCTTGTTTCTTGTTGACCTTTGACCTCTTGTCTGAAAGGTTCCTTCAGTCCTGATTATATTCTGGGAGTTTCAGGCTCACATGTCAAAGCTGGAGCACTAAAAAGGCAGTTTCATCCTCAGGCAGTTTCATAACCACTCACGCCTTTAAGCATGTGATCAAAACAATTTTGCATATTGGCCTTGCTGGCAACTCACAAATGATGACAACCCAAAGGACTCACAAGATTGAGGGTGAGTGGGTCATGTGACTCCAACACGGTCCTCATTACAATTTATTACCTCACAACTCATCATCGAAGATAAAAACGTCTTTAAGATGAGAATAAAGTAAACAATAAATAATTTGAGTGTGAAACGTTTTGGAAACAAAAACTGACAAATCATGTATGAAGAAGGATCCTGACTTTAGTTTCTAAGTGTTTATTCTGCAGGATATCTGCAGACTGAAGGACATCTCATTTGTTCTGAGAAGATTTCTAAGCTCCATGCATGTTTGTACTTTGTGTGATTGTCCAAACTCTATCTCAGCAACAGCAGTTTGTTTCATAACAAATATGCGAGGGAAACAAAATGCTCCAAGCTTTTCCTCTACATTGTGGAGCATGGTTCAAATTGAAAACAGACCTCTGAAGCACAACCTCCAAGTTTTCCACCCTCAGATATCCATTTCCTTCTTTTCCTTTCACGATATTTCAACATTAAAACATAAAAATGGCCTAAAAGTCTGGTTTAAAGAAGAGTAAAATAGTGGAGAAAGGAAGCCACACATCTCAACATGTGGTCAGATTCACTGATGAGTTAACAATGCAAACATCATAATGCATGAAAACTATAAAGAATAGTTTCTGACGCCTCGATGAAGTGGTAAACATTTTTACGAGCAGAAGCTGTAAACAGCATCAGAAATGTATGGCTGGTTTCAATAACCAGACTTGGCACAAAAGATCAGCGATAATCTTCTGACCGAAGCAGAAACTCAACATGTACACAAAGAAACACAAATCTGAGATCACACAGCTACATCTCTGAACCTGGTTCACTGACAGGAAAACAATTAAAACATGGAGGAATTAAATCTGAATGAAAACGACTCACCTCTAAATGCAAATAGCCACTGAGCAAAACGGAAATGAAAAATTTAAATCCAACAAAAACAACTTCTAATTCCAAACCTGAATTTCTAAGAAGATAAATTTTTGACACAAACACAAAATGTGGAACACACACCTCTGTCTAAACCAGACAGGACAGAAAAACACGATTCTGAGTAAAAGGTGTGCCTCGGGGCTGAAATTCATTGGCCACGCAGCATGAAGAGGCGGGAAAATGGGTGTCACCGAACGTTTGATTGGCTGAAGAGGAGCAGAGGCTTACTGTGAAGGCCGGGGGCACAAACTGGGGGCCGATCAAGGGGAAAGACGTTTGTCTGCTTTTTGGGGAGAATATTATGTTTTTGGAGGGGGCTAAAGCTGCTGACGCATCCTATCGCTCGCTGCAGTTACCCAGGGGAGAAACTAGAGCCAAAGTCAATCATCCTGCACTGAGAAAACACAGAACCCAGCTTCAACAGGATCTGTGGACACAAAGGATTACAAGAGAAGCACAAAGAAACAAGACTCTTTACTGAGAACAAATACTTTCACAACAAAGTTCAAAGGGTAACATCTGCACACAGGGAGATGAGTCAGATTACAGCAGCACCATCTTAGCAGGTTAGGTTCCTAAACTGCAGAGGTGGACAGAAACTGTAGTTTTTCCTAAATTATTTGATGTATTTCACTGCAAATAAATGTACGAACTGAATACACTGATAAATATGACATATTTCACATTCCAGTTGGACTGGAAACTAATTTTTACTGACATTTTAAAAAGAAACAACAAAAGAATAAACCAAAATCTTCTTTAGGTAACGTGAACCATTTTTTATTGTGACAACTATAAAGAGCAGGAAGATGCAATTATCAGCTTATCGTTGCATAACACTTTCTTTAATCAGCACCTGCACCTGTGGACTCCATTATAATAATAACAACAATATGAGTTGTGTAATGCAAACTTTTCCAGACATTTTCACGATGAGCTGCATGTAAGGACGGATCGAATCAAATTAACTTTTTGCTGCGTTCATTCAGGCAGCCTCAGGGGGTTCAGTGTTGCTATGGGTGTGCTGTGTGCAAATATGAAGAAACACAAAGAAACAAACTGTAAGATCTATAAAATCTCCTAAACATCACCTCCTTTATAACCCAAAGTGACAATATTTTGCTCTGCACACCTCTAGGAGTTACAGAGCTGTTAAAAAGCTGGCTGTGTGCAAAGTTAAGAACAAGTAAGTCTTTCTGCAGCTGCAGTCTCATGTATATTTGTATAGGTTTCCTACAGAAGGAAGACATATTTATACATATTTAAAACAAGACAACTTATATTTGAATCATTTCATACTATATCACAAAATATCCAGACTGCAAACATCATTGAAAATCAGAAACCTACAGAAGTTTAAGGGATTTTAGACTATTTCAATCACGAAAGCAAAGTGAACAAATGATAAAAGCTACTAATTAAAATCTATACGCAGCTCTGTCAGTACATCAGTTTTTTGTCAAAACACTGAAGAAGAACCAGTTAAATGAAAAAACAAACAAGTTCAGCAGGTCTCATGTCTAAGGGGAACCTCAGGCCCATTAAGGTTACGATAACAGCTTTTATGCATTTACATGGTATATTAGAATAAAGCAATATTAATTATTTTAGTGTGTTTATCAACTATTTGGTGTATAAGCTGTGCTTACCTGCATCTTGGGGACAAGGGCACATCTTGATCAATGGGGCTATGAGGCGAGTATCGTCCTGGTGGGGTGGGGGTTCTGCTGGACACAGAGTTTTGTCTGAAGTCTGAGGGGAAGAACTCCTATAAAGAAGACAAAACAACTTATGTTCAGTTGATGCACATACTCTAAATATGTTTGTGGATAGCAGTTTCAAGCATCAGCAACAACTTTATGACACAAAGTTTCGAATCTCAGAAGATTGCCATGTCAATCTTAAGTAAAATTAATTAATTCATTAATTTAATCTGTCAAAACCAGAACAGGGAATAAAATCTGTAGTCCAAATGAGCAACATATGAAAGAAACAAACCAGCTCGTGTCGTCTGTCTACATAATCATGTTTGACTGAAACCTAAAAAGGTTCTTTCACTTTCATGTAACTAAAACAATAAACTCTCATAGTTTCATTGTGTTTGGTGCAATGGCTCTACTGCCCAACCTTCTTAAAATCCTGCCGTTTCTGCTAATTAGTCATGGTTACAGCAGCCTCACATCCACTTTTTAAAATCCAGATTTCCTTTTTCTAAACATAAATATGCTTCATTAACTCGGCTAATAGAGGACAAATTAGGTTGCTGCAGATGGTTCAGAGTAATTGCAGAGTTTGATGAGAAATATCTCCCTGAATTTAATTTTATGGGCTTCCAAAGTCTGCACAGAGATGTGAGACTGTCATACACTTCTCTTTGTCATAAAATGAGTTAAATTATAACATTTATGACAAGTGAGGCAAGAAAATTAGACTTTTGTAGTCAAATGGTGTTTGACAGTAGAGGGCGCCAAATATCAACAAAATCAACTCCTACCAAGAACTCAGATGTGCAAATTATTCATGTTCCTTGTTCTAAGACACTAAATCTGAAGCATTCAGGCATTAATAAGTGCAAAGGCTAATTTATACCACAAGAGAGCATCAATGGGCAACTAGAGGAAAATATAAAATGCATGTCCATAAACACTCAGAACACCAGGGACAAGTCTGCACAGCTCATATTTCAGCCAAGACACTTTTACTGTCAGGAATTTCAAAACTACAACACCGTCTGGTATTTAACCATGTCCACCTGTAAATCTGACCACTTCCTGATCACGAACAGTTCACGAGTCCACAAAAGGTTCAAAATGGAAGTTTGACTTTGCCTGGTTTAGAGAAGATGATTCTAAACAACGGTTTGTCTGAGAAAAGATGATATTTCTTCCCATTAGTTGTCATTACAGTTTACAAAACCTTACAGAGAACTGAAGAACACATTTCCACAGTGTTGTTCTCCTTCAACCATCACCAGCTGGCATCAGCGTTACATAAACCTTCCAAAAGAGAAACGGCTCCACCCGACTCTTTAACCAGTCTGAGCCTGGAGTCAGAACCAACGGTGGAGCTGGAGGCCAACACAGTGGCATGGAGAAAATTACTAAAAATAAATAAATAAAAAAACTGTGCACTGCCAGCACCCGCTTCCAATTCAGCAACTTCTTGAACAATCTTTCTGTTCTCAACTGAGTCCAACTTTCCTTTTCTTTTTCCTGAGTGAGTAGGCAGATTAGTGGTGCATGCCAGGAAAACCTTCAGCAGGAAAGGTCAGTGGAACAGCTCCCCGTGATTTCTCCCCAGATAAACCTGATGTAATAAGTCAGGCTCATAAGATCACACATTTCATACTATCAGTACAAAAAAATAGAGCCATCCAAGAGCTCTCCTGCTGTGACGCAATCTAAACGGCCCTTATAGAGATATATCAGGGATTGTTTGAGGTAAACCAATGGAAGCCTCACAGTTTGTGCATATGAATCCACACTAATGCAAACCAAGTGTCTCTCTTACATAAGTGTCTGACTACTGACTGAGAATCCTCAGGCTTTCCAACAGGATAAGAGTTTGCTGATAAAAATCACAGCTCTGATCTATGGGACCCAAGAGGAATGCAGTCAAATTGACAAAAACAAAACAGAAGGGAGGAGGGAAAAAGCCCCACTGCGACAGCTTGGATGAAACACGTCTGTACAAATTAAAACTAAAAAACACAAACCAAAACTGTTCTCATCGTTTTCTATTCTCAGGGATCCGGTGCCAGAGTTTCACTGCAGTAACCATGACACGGCTGGCGTGGCCTTGCGCTGTTTTTCCACAACAGCTAAACAGATTACCGTTCTATCCAAAGCCACCAATGTATAACTCATGCTTGATCTAAAAGCCACAATGCATTTGATAAACTGCACCAGGGCAGTGCCAACAATGTTCCCATGTTTTATGAAGCAGCAAACAAAGGGAGGGGCGCAGGCACAGTGAGGAAAGCCTTTATTTTGTCACTGGTAGTAACACAGCCATAGATGGGAGAGAACGAATATTGGCCAATTTTCAGTGGTTCCTGCGGCTGCCAAGAGGAGGAAGCTCTGATTAAAGCTGCACTGAACTGTAATCAGGAGTTCATACCCAACAAACCCCAGATCATTAGGGCAAGTAGCTGGTATGCTGTGCTGGTTCTAAGCAGCAAATACTGATATTATTTTTTTTTACTTTATAAATCAGTCAACCTTCAGCTGATAAATGCATGTAAACAGACTTTCACCTTTTTAAAAAGGGCATTTAATCATATCAAAAATTTGATACTATAGGAGTAATAAGGTCATTTACAAGCCAAATGAGCAAAATAACATTCAGCAGGTTGTTGTTGTTTTTAGTGTTTTAGTTCTTTGAAAATAAGGATATAAGGGTAAACTTTAAAATGTAAGAACCAAACAGTTTGAGGGAACAAATAAGTCAAGTCTTCATTTTTAAAATAATTAGATTTGTAGATGAAGACAACTCATGTAATGAAGATTAATTGTGCTTTTATTCTAAGCATAAAAAAGAAAGTAGTAGTTCCTGCCATTAATGTTTCAGCTCTATAAAAGATGTGGCTGCTGAGACCTTGTTGGCCATGCTTTGAAAATTAATTGACTGACTGACACTCACTCACTTAATTTTTACTCTCCTTATCTGTGGCAATGACAAAATATCAAGCATGGAAAAGACATTAGTGCTGTACCAAACGATTATTTTCTAATCGATTAATCTAACGATTATTTTTTCGATTAATCGATTATTCTAACAACAAATCTATAAGTTATTCTGATGTGAGTGCACTGGAAATTTAAAATGTTTTCATCAAATTAACAAGAACAGTTCTTTAATATTGTAATATTTTCTTTAATAGTTTTTCATGAACACAAAATATGCACTCTAGAGTCAATTTTTTAACAAAAAAAGCTTAAAAGATTTAACATCAACATAAAATCTCAACCAAAGCATATAAAATTCAAGTAAAAGAAATATAATGCAAGATGTTAACAATCTAACAAATTAACTAAATCATGCAAAATTCAAGTCACTCTGAATTTGCCATGTTTTGAACATCCAAAACACGTCCAACACTTGTTGGCTGCTTGTGCTCTTTAGGTCAGACGTGTGTCGGGAAGCTCCTCTGTTGTTTGAGACGCTGGGGGAACCGTCTGATGGGGGAACCGTCTGATAGGGGAACCGTCTGATGGGGGAACCGTCTGATGGGGGAACCGTCTGATGGGGGAACGCAGCTCGACCTAACTCCGGTCTCTGTTTAATGGTGGATGAAATAAAGAAAGTGGTGGTACTTTATTTACTTTGAGCAAGCGAACGTCGTGTTCACAAGATAATTAATCCACCAGATAATTCAGAGGCGGTCTGTTCAGTAAATTTTACTCCAGGAGCTGCGAGGCTTGTTTTCAAGCTTCAGACTGAACTGAAGCAGCAGCTGCTGACATCATTACGCTCTTGCGAGATGCTGCGTTCAGGACAAACATGGCAAACTAACCACTCTTATGCCAATACGGTCGCAATGATGCATTTAGGTACCGAAATGGAATTGCGTGAACATTCACGTGGTGGTTATGTAATACAGCCAATCGATAATAAAAAATCTGTGTCGACAAATTTACATAATCGACATCATCGATTATTTTTAACTAATCGGTGCATCCCTACTTGTAACATCCACGGCCTACCCCAGTTACCACTACTGTGCATGTGTGTCAAGGACAGAAAGGCAGATGTGGCAGTGGAAGGTGTCAAAGCAGTTTGGAGAGAAAAACAAAGTAAAGAACAAAAAAAAAAGAAAACAGTTAATTGATTATTAAATTAGTCTTCGATTATTTTAATAATCGATTAGTTGTCGATTAATCAATTAATCGTAGCAGCCCTAAAACCTATTAAGACTTAGATATGGAGCCTACTACTGATATTTGATGGATATTTTTCTGTCATTGTTGCCCTAGAAAAGATTTTTAGAGTAACTCATTTGTTTTGATTCCAGTAAATAACTAAAAATATGGCATAATACAGATACAAATCTGCATAAGACAATGGTTGTTTATAACTGGTTATTTCAAGCAACAAGCAAGAAAGACATGTCAGGCTGCAGTAACGTCAGCTGTTTCAGATCAAGACAAATGAGAAACTTTGAGGACAGTTCCAGGAGATGAATCTTCAGTCTGGCTCCAAGTAAGCCACTCTGTATCATCATTACCACCATGTAGCTTCAATTACAGGGCATTGGCCAACAGCTCAGAGCAGCGATGCCTGGAGCAGCTGATATTTTGGGAATCCTGATGCTGCTGCGGGTCGGTGCCACAACTGCAAATTCAGTATTCAGCACAGACATGAGGGCTGCACAACAAATGAGGTGAGACACAGCAGAAATCCTGTGTGGGTAAACATTAAAGCCATGTTCAGAGTTTATCATTGGCATTCACTGGTGAAGGTGATAAGCACAAACACATTTTTCACTGTTAACAGACCAGGCTTTGTGACTACGTTCATACAATGGTGCCCTGCATTTTTTTTCAGCAAATAAAATGCAGTATGAGTGAAGATATGACGTTATCTTGTATAAAACTCTTGTAATTGACATTGTTAATATGTTATGCTCTTTAATACCCCAGTCCTGTTTCACTATAGTGCTAATTGTAATACTGATGTTGCTGGAACAGTGTTGATGGGTACACAAAAGCTCACTTCACCAGACCAGAATATACTGTGCATGCTGCATCAGCACTACTAGAAAGATCC